GGGTTCCCGGGGCCCAATGTGCGGTGAGGGAAGGAAACTAGACTTTTGGCGGGGAGCACGTTACGATGCATGCAGATAACACATAATGTTGTATACCTGAAAATTATATAACGTTATCAACCAATGTTACTGCAATAAAAAAATAAAGTAAAATTAAAAAAACAAAATAAATGCCAAGTAAAAAAATCATGAGGCTTCGTGACTATATCTTACTCACGGGGTGCGTCCAGTTTAATGTAAAGGGGTATTTTATGTATCATTTACTGTGGGGTTTTTTTGTCTTGACCTATTGCTTTGACTATGATATTGCTACTTGTTTATTTGTGATGTTACTTTGGATGCTTCTGTAAGCATTTCTGTTATGTGCCCCTAACTTTTCTACAGTCAGCAGGTAATCCCCAGAGGGAGGAAGGGAAGGAGGGACAGAAACTCAATCACTGCAAGGTTTTTTTAAAAAATACATCAGTATGAGTAAGTTGAAAAAACTAAAAAGAAAATGATTTGATTAATACGACTGAATTAATACATACCTCAAACTTCTGTACCCTGCAAAGAAAACACTTCCTTTTCATTCACAGTAAAACTTACAGTAAACCAGGCATTAAATGAAGCTGCTTTTTCCAAAGAATTTTATCTGCCAAAAATTCATAGCAAATCTCACACTTAATAGTGAAGCATTAGAAATACTCTTTTAAAAATCAGAAGTGGATAAAGGTGCCACTATCACGGCTTCTATTCAGCATTGTATTCAAAGTTCTTTCCAGGGACTTTTAAAATGAGAAATGTAGTTCTTCAATTTCTTTAATATATTTATATGGTTATTCCAATTATCTATCTCATAGTGGGTAAGTTTGGTAGTGTGGTTTTGAGGGACTGGTCCATTTCACCTAAGTTGCCAAATTTATGTACGTAGCATTGTTTGTGGTATCCTCTTATTATCCTTTTGATGTCTGTAGAGATTGCAGTTTCATCCTTTGCTTCATTTCTAATATTGGTAATTGTGTCTTTTCTTTTGTCTGTTTCACCAGAGAAAAGTTGCCAATTTTATTGATCTTTTCAAAAACTAGCTCTTTGTTTTATTGTTTTTTCTCTATTATTTTTCTGTTTTCATTTTTATTGATTTTTGCTCTTATTATTTCTTTCTGCTTGTTTTGGGTTTATTTCACTGTTTTTCTAGGTGCCTGAAGTAGAAGCTTATTGATTTAGGATTCCCCTCTCCTTATGTATGCATTTAGTGCTATACATTTCCCTTTCAGCACTGCATCCCACAAATTCTGATATGGTGTACTTAAAAAAAATTTTTTTTTTAAATTTTTAGAGAGAGAGGAAGAGAGAGAGGAACATCGATGTGAGAGTGAAACAATGATTGGACGCCTCCTGCACACCCCCCTACCAGGGATTGAGCCCACAACCCAGGCATGTGACTTGACTGGGAATTGAACCAGGAACTTTTCAGTGCAAGGGACGATGCCCAACCAAGTCGCACTGGCCAGGGCTGATATAGTGTCTTTTCTTTTCTTTTTTTTTTTTTAGTTTGTTATATTTCTTTATTCCCTAGAGGATTCCTCATAGACCCATGAATTATTTAGGAGAGTTCCGTTTAGTTTACAGATGTTTGGAGATTTTCGGGTTATCTTTCTGTTACTAACTTCTAGTTTGATTCCATTGTGCTCAGAGAACAACTTTGCATGATTTCAATTCTTTTAAATAAGTTTTTTGTTTGTGTGTTGTTTGTTTTTTTTATGGTCCAGGATATGGTTGGTGTATCTTGATAAATGCTCCATGAGAACTTGAAAAGAATGTATATTGGGCTGTCATTGGATGGAATGCTCTATAAATGTCAATTAAATCCTATTGGTTGATGATGTCGTGAATTCTTCTCTATCCTGGCTGATTTTGACATAGGGTGGGAAAGGTGGAAAATGCATTATTAATGCTGGGCAAGTGTGGAAGTTTAGAGTCCCCACTAGGCCTCCACCGAGACCACCCTGGCTGGGAGGGGAAGGGGCCCTCTGGCACCGCGAGGAGATGGGTCCGTGGCGAAAGTCCTGGGTCTCCACAGACCTTCTCTGACACCCCTGAAGGGAAGGGGCCGAGGGGCCTCGTTACTGCCAGGTGGGAATGAAGTGCAGGCCCCTAAGTGGCCTTCAAGGACACTGTGGGAGGGGGTTCTCATTAACAGTGAGTAGCAGTGAAGTTTTACTCTGCACAAGAATTTCTCGGACGCTATCCCAGCAGGGAGGGCAGGAGGACGTTGTTCCAGCCACAGCTGTATCGTGGTATTTGGCTAAAGGCCGTCGGTTACTGTCCAGGGGTTTTCTGGTGCTAGGCTGCTTGTTCCTCGCCTGCAGCTGGAGACAGCAGGGTGTTTCTTGAAGCCGTTGTTGTCTGTTAGCGTTCGGGGTTGCAGCTTCTCCAGCACCCAGTTCAGGCTATTTGAGGCAGAAAGACAGACCGGGGAACTCAGCGCTGTGCCAGCCCTCAGGTCCTGAGGTCCCCAGCTGGTCTCTGCTCCCTTTCACCTCCCAGTCTTCTTATTTGCTTTCTACGTAATTTCTAGGGCTTAAGCTGTACTTAGTCAGAGAAACAGGGAAAAGTGCACCTCCTCCATGTTGTCTGAAACTGTAACTTATTTTCATATCTTCCAGTGCGTCTGAAATATCTCACAATAACTTAAAAAGCTTAGATGATGCCGGTGAAAGTTAAACTATTCTTTAAGATTTGGGGGGCACCGGGGTCCGCTCTCTGCCTGCCCACCTTCCCAGGGAGGGTTCCCTCCCTTTTCCTGCGCAGCCCTGTTCCCTTCTCCATGGCCCCCATTCCCTCCCTCCAACCCCAAGGGAAGGACTTGGGGCAGCTCCTGCTGAGAGCAGGGCCTGGTGAGAGACAGACCGTTGCAAATCACGCTACAGCTACAGCTACAGCTACAGCCACATCTGAGTCATGGGAGAAGGTGCTCTGAAGGCAGTTTTGATATCTTAAAAGGGGACGTCATTAGAGGGTTTGATATCTAAAATGTATAACAATTNGAAGGCAGTTTTGATATGTTAAAAGGGGACGTCATTAGAGGGTTTGATATCTAAAATGTATAACAATTAATACATTTCTACTGAAGGCTCCCAACCCCAGCAGTCCTCCTGCAGAGAGGATTGGAGCAGAGACCACTTGTCAATCCAAATGGATCTGTTTCAATGTTTTAACAACCAGGACAATCTCCCTGGCACACACCAGCTAAATGCCAGCCTTACCTAGAACGACTCAATATTTTTTTCTGCAAACTGCAAGCAGTGAAAGCACAAAGATGATAAAAGGTGTTTAAAACATTTCTAACGACAGGCAGTACATAATCAGCCAGGAAAGGGTGAAATAAAAAAATATCTGGTACTTTTTATTCCCTCATATTGTTAAAGCTAGTAAAAAACCATGAAAAATGACATTAATTCCCTTTGAGAGATGCAGTTGATATCATATTGGGCACAGCTATGTGGAACTCTACAATCCTTTCATAATCGGAGGAATAAAATATTTCAATTCCCTAGAGTGTACGCTAATGTTGTAAATGGACACATTGAAATTTCAAGAGCACAATTCCAGTTGTATATATCAAAAAATCATAGGGGGGAAATAAATGGTGATGGAAGGACACCTGACTTGGGTGGCGGACACAAAATACAGTGTTCAGACGATGTGTTGTGGAATTGTGCATCTGAAACCTGTATAATTTTGTTAACCAGTGTCACCCCAAGAAATTCAATAAAAGGAAAAAAAAATTAAAAACAAAACAAATCACTATGTACATAGCAACGCAGAGATCCTGGGAGATTTTGCCATCTGATATTTCAGAGCAGGAAGCAGCTGGAAAAATCATTAATAGCTAGGCGAAAAAACTGAAATTACCTTTCTAAAAGCTAAGAATAACTTGTGTAAAAAAAATAAACACTATTCAGAGAATCACAAAAGAAACTGATTGAGAGAATTAAGGCACATAGAACATTCTTTTGCAGGTAGTTGGCTGTGTGAGAAACAGCCAGGATCCACGGCCAGCTTAGACACAGGAACCGGACATGCTCAGAGCAGGTTTTCCATGTTAAGGTCAAATGTCAAGTGCCGGTATACTTGCGGCCCTGAGGGATGGGAGGAAGGGTGGGTTTGGTGTTGGAACTCGGGCGACTGACGACTGACACCGTGTGTCGTCTGTGTTGGAGAGTCCCTTTTTCATATTGGAGTGACGGTTTATGTGCTATAAAACATTAAGAAAAAAAAGATACAGTACATATAGTTAAGCTCTTGCTACACGAAACAAAGAAAACAAGCACTGTATGATATAAGCACCAGAATAATATTTAGAATTATTTCATAACAAACTTTCAGGAATAAATGACATCCAAACAAGAAACAGAGAGGGTGAGGTTCAGAACCCATCGTGTGTGGGCTTGGACAGGCCCTGGGTGTGGAGGCTGGCGCAAGGAGCAGAAGGGGGCACAGGGACAAGTCCTGGGCCGCTCCTCTGCCCTGCTCACAGCCCCGGGACAGCGCCCGGACCCCACGTTCACAACTGTGCAGAAGTACACTTAGCATGTGCATGCACACACATGCATGCATGCACATGCGCACACATGCACGCGCACACATACATGTATGCACACATGCATGCACACGCGAGTGCACACATGCACGCACAGAGCGTGCAGAGGCCTCCCCCCCCCCTGGGAGAAACCTCACCTAACACCCTCCACGGCTGCCTGTTCCCCGAGGATGGAGGCGCCGAGGAGGCCACGGAGCTAGGCCCCCCGAGGGCTGTTCAGCAGGAGTTTGGGCACAGAGACGGAAGGCGGCCACATGGCAGCCACACGGCGGCCACAGAAGCCGAGTTCTGGAAAGCGCGGCAGAGGGTCCCGGCGGGAGGAAGGAAACCCGAGGGGCCTGCGCGCGGGCTCAGGGCCTCGCTCTGTCCATCCAAGGTGTTCAAGGGCCTTCAAGGCCACGCGCAGGCCGGACGGCACATTCCTTGAGAGAGGGCCTCAAGCCCACGGAGGCCAGAAAAAGAGGAAGGGAAAGAAAAGGCTCCTCCTTGTTTGCTTTTTCCCACCATCAGGAGATTATAAACTAGAAAGGGCAACAAAAGCGCCTTGAGATAGTCAAGGCCCGAAGAAGAAAGAGGAGCGCGGCGGGCGGGGCCTTCCTTCTCCATCAGCACCCGGGTCTGCGCCCTGCAGGACCAGCCCGGGAAGCTGGAGTCACTTTACACAAGTGATTTTAATTGGTTGATTAATTTACTTATTTTTAACGCTCACCCAAGGATATTCTTGCCCTTGCTTTTCAGGGAGGGTGAAGGGGCGGGGGAGAGAGAGAGAGAGAGAGAGAAACATTCATGTGAGAGAGGCATGGATTGGTTGCCTCCCGTATGCGCCCTGACCAGGGCTGGGGATCGAGCCTGCAACTGAGGTATGTGCCCTTGGCTGGAATTGAACCCGGGACCCTTCAGTCCACAGGCTGACGCTCTAACCACTGAGCCAAACCAGCCAGGGCTACAGAAGTAATTTTAGAGTGTCTGGTCTCTGAGAACTCATTGACAGTGAGAAAAGTACTGGAGACAAATAATATTGCCATTTAAAAAATAGAAATACAGTGGTGCCTTGGTTTTCGAACGTAATCCATTCTGGAAGACGGTTCGAGTTCTGAACTGTTTGAAAACGGAGGTACCACTGTAAAGGTTCACAAGCCAGTATACCTGACTCTAAAACTTAGCAAATTTGAGTTTATTAAAGAAATGGTTTGTGTGTTTAGAAAATAGGGTAGTGAGAGATAAGCGTTGAAAAGGATTTGCGAAAGAAATTATTTCAGATTAACTTAATTTCCCTTTTACTATGGCAGGGGGCCAACAAACTATAGCCCATAGGCTAAATCTGGTCTGCAGCCAGTTTTAGTAAATTAAGTTTACTGGAAACCAGCCCACACCTATTCATTGATACACTGTCCACGGGTCCTCTCATACCACAATGGTAGAGTGGAGTGGTTGCCAAAGAGTCCAGGTGACCCAGAAGCATTTACTGTCTGACCCTTTGTAGAAAGCTTGCTGACGTCCGAGTTCGAAAATCCCACTGATATAATATGCCTTGATTTCTGCAAGGCACCTGTCACAGTCTCTCATGTAAACACACCAGAGAGATGTGAGCGGGAATCAAGACAGTAAAGGGACTTGGGCACAAAGCAGAATTTTATCTCCCTTCTAACCACTTGTTTTTCCTACCTTGACATGGAGAATTCCACAAGCCTGCCTTTTTCAAAAAGCCCATCTTTTCATGCAAGTCTGCTTTGTCTCCAGCTTATAAAAGCCAAGCAGAGCCGGCCCCAGAGCCAGTTCAGAGGACCTTTGCTTCCTCTGTGCTGCCTCCTCTGTGCTCGAGCATAAGCTTAATAAAATCTGTCTGAAAGCTTCTCTGTGGTTTCCTCTCGGAGAACCCCAATGCCTGTAACAGAATCACATACCAGGTAGATTTCCCTGAAACTGAGTCTCTAGAGACTTGTATAGGATGCTACTCTTGGCCAAGTCCTGGATCCTATTTTTCCATAAATTTTATTGATTGTTTGAGAGAAGGAGGGGAACACCGATTTGTTGTTCCACTTACTTATGCATCATTGGCTGAGTCTTGTATGCTCCCTGACAGGGGATACAACCTGCAACCCTAGCATATGGGGACGATGCTCTAACCAACTGAGCTACCAGGCCAGGGCCACTGGACCCTATTTTTGACAGTGACCATGACAAAGGCGTAAGTGGCATGCCTGCTGGCTTTACAGAAATCTCTAAGTAGTAAATATGGGAGATGAATCAAGACCCAAAATGATCTAATCAAGCTACAATGTGGGACTGAGACTAAAATGATAAAAAGATGAACATAAAAGTTGCATTTACGTAAAAGAGAACCAAGTATGCATATACGGTCTGATAGAAACCTGGTCTGGCAGTTCATGTGAAAAAGACGTGAGAGTTTGACTGACCCGGAGCCAGCAGTGTGATGCGACTGATGAGAAAACCGCCAGCGAGGGATGGCAGGTAGATGGCAGACCAGAAAGTTCCAGGCCCTCACTATCCCAGGGAGACACATTAAACAAACAACTGGAGACCGGCTAAAATAACTTTATAGGAGCTCTGAAAACCAGGCAGAGGCCTACAGCAGCCGAGTGAACAGCCAATGAATGAAAAGCCACATTAAAAAAGTAGGAAATACCGGGGTGTTTTTACTCACCTTTGCCTCACCCCCTGCCCTGGTGGGCTGAAGCACAGTTCTGAGGAAGGGGGGCCCGGTTCCCAGTTCCCTCCCCTGAACCAGAGAGTAGAGGAGTGTTCCCACCTGTCTGGCGCTGCCTGGTTGGTGTCTGCGGGGTTCAGCTGAGTTCAAAAGTGGTGCAGCTGGAATCTCAGTCTAGGGGAGCCACAGGAAGCCACGGACGGGGCTCATGGAAACCACAAGGGGGCGACAGACCCACAGATGGGGGGCAAGAGAATACTAGTTGAGGAACAGGATGGAACAGCTGAGGCCCCAGGGAGAAGCAGGGGTCTCTCAGGGAAATGAAGACATTTTTTTAAAGCACCTGCGTACACTGAGGAATTGGAAAGAGCTCAGGGAAAGCATGTGTCCAGGAAAGAACTGCCAAGACCCTGAGCCTTGGAGCTGGGCTGATTCTGGGCTCGGCACACGCCCTGCTCATTGGTCAAGGTCCTCCCTGCACTGAGCCAGTCTGCAGACTCGGGGAGGAGGCCGCCTTTTCATATGCCCAGCTTTCAAGCAAAGACCACAAGACATACGAGGAAACAGGGAAACATGGCCAAAGGAACAGAGTAAGTCTCCGAAACCATCACTGAGGAAACTATCACGACCTCCTGCTATGCATATGAAAATGGGCAGTCGTCACGCCCAGCAGGTATCTAGCACCTTCTTACGTCACCATGCTCGTCCTGTCTGGCTCCGGATCACTGAATTACATGCCACATCATGATACACGTGCATCACGGCGGTACACAGGGGTAGGATATTATTCTATTCCTGCAGGACAGACACTTTCATTCTCAGACACTAACTGACTTGCCCAACAGTAGACAGCAGACAATAGTAGAAATGGAAGCAGAACCCAGGCCTTCTGATTCCTAATCCAATGTTCTTTCCACTGTACCCCCCGCAGGTAACAGCCCCACTTTGCTGTCGGGTTCAGAATGAGAATACGGGCAGAGAAGAGAAAATGAGACGGGGAAGGTCTAGACACATTGTGCAGTGGGAAGCCTGGGCTGTGACGGGCTGTGGGACCAGGGCCCCTGGGTCCCCTCAGGTGCTGGAGTGGCAGGTCGCAGCGTTTAAGGGGTCCCTAGAACACTCGCCCCTGCTGTAAGATGACAGAGTGTCCACTTGAGAGTCTGGGATTATTTCCTGGAACTGCAGTCCTGGGACCCCAACCCTTGTTGCTTTCCCTCCCTCAGGAGTGAAATCCTTGAAAACACCTTATCTCCGCCAGCTGTCCCCAAGAGAACCACAGCTAAGGAGGGAGTCGCCTTTAAACGGGTTAGAAGGTGGCTGTTTTGGGACCCTCTTCCTACTGGAGGTGCCATCCGTTGCGTCCTCTTGTCCCTGGCAACCTAACAGGTCTATATTCTGCTTCTGGTTCCCCTGGTCACCTGAGCAAGCAGGGGGTCCTCATGGCCTCTTCTGGGCTCAGGCCGGACATCCCACCCCCACCTCAGGCTACAAGTGGAGGCCCCCTCCCGGCCCCCAGGGCCTGGAGAATCCCCCCATCTGCTCATTCCTTCATCGGCTGCTCCCCGGGCCCCGGCTGCCTACACGGGGCCGCTTTCTCCTCTGCTCTTTCTCACCTCCAGCCTTTCGGTCGCCCCCACGCTGTTCGGGGCCTTCGCTCACTGTCATCTATGAGCATTGCCACCGAGCCCAGGGACGAAGACGCAACGACTGTCTGTCTGTGCACGGAGACATGCATTCACGTGTGTGTCGGGGAGCGATGGGCAAAAAGGGGGCAAAGTGGGGGGCGGGGGGAACTGGGCCCGATCCTTCAAACCTAAAACCATCAGGGTTCTCCGAGAGCCAGAGAGGGTCCGCAGCCTGAAACCCGCAAGCTCCTCGCCGTCCCTAAAGGAGCCAGCTGGTCACCTCTCCCCGGAGGGCACGGGCCCTGCCCTAGGGGACCCTGTGGGCAGCGCCCCCGGCGGGCAGAGCTACTGGCCTTGGGCACATGCCCGACCTTTCCCAACGTTCCTTTCCATGGAGACAAAACCCCACCTTGCCTACAAGGAGAGATTCTGACTTAAAACACTCATTTAGTTAAAAAAAGTCTGTAACAGTCAGAAAAAGAGTAAGAAATACATATCATTATAATATTACTATCTATACGAGAACCAGATGCAAGACGACTCCTACCTTTTAGGGCCAGATCCCCCTTAATATCACTTGTTCCTGGAGGCTCAAAAGGCAATTCTTTTAACCAGGGACAGGACTGAAACAACGCAGGATATTTCTTGGTAGCATGGGAATCCTTGTCGCTGAAAATCGAAAAATGAAGGATACCCGTTAGATGGGAAGCTACTGATGGCCACACGACCTGTGCCAGTGACTTCACTGGGTTACCGTTATCAAGTCCTGTCAGTGGTCTGCGAACAAGTCTCTGTTGCGCTCAGGTTTTCACTGGTATCTGTAGCAAGGCCTAGATAGCAGCTGACAAAGTACTGTTCGTATTAGCAGGGACTTCTCATCAATTATACAAAACATAACCGAATAGCTGCTAAGGGCAAGGCCTCGTGATAGGTGCTGGAGTGTAAAACAAGATGCGTGAGGCTCAGGTCCCAATTTCTAGGACGTTAGAATCAAGTGCAATTTAGATACAGGGGTTCCTGCTACTTCAAGGAGAGAGAACATGAAAGCATGTGAGGGGGCCTGATCTGGAACACACACTGGGCATGTCTAACGCTAGTTTGGGGACTGATTTCACCCGGTTTTTAGGATAAGGTCAGGCTGTGGCCTGGGTGGCACACTTCCTCCCACCAGGTCGCTCTCCTGTGGGAGTCCCCTGCTCCCTGGCTTTCTGTGAGCTTTGTTCACAGCAAGACTGAACACTATTTCTTGTCTGTATTAATTAGCTTGTCTCCCATATTTTGTAAACTGTTTACGTCTTTTCCTCATTTATCCTTTGAGGATGTTCGTGTTTTCCATATCAATGTGTGTGAACTCCTTATATACTGAATGTCAACTCTTTGGTTGTATTTTAAAGAGCTTGCTGTTTTCCTTTTAACTTTATCTTGAACCTAGAGAAACTTAAAATGTTTACATCATCAAAATATATTAATCTTTTCTTCTGTGATTTTTCACATTTCTCCAAAAACATTTCATTAACACTTTAATCAACCTACCATATGAATATAGTTAAAACTAAGTCATATTATACAGAAGGGCTTATAATAAAAAGCGAAAATCACCCCAATTTCACTCTCCTGAGAGCCAACCATTTTTAACTATGTCTGTTTTAGATGTCCTGACAACAATCTTCTGATTTCTAAATAATACGTTACTGACATTTACTGATGTATCAGCTTTAGACACGGCTTTGGTAGATATGGATTTCTGCTCTGGCTGGAAAGGATTCAGCCCACTTAATAACACTTCCCCGACATTTCCTCCCCCTGAACAGTTCTATCACTATTTTCAGTTCCTCCATCTGTCAGATCTTCATCTTCATGTATCATATTTAAAACCTCCACTTCTTGTTCCATCAACAGCAGATGATATATATTGACTTTCCACCCCCACCTCCTATACTTTGTCCTTAGAGCTCTACTTTTCAGTGTCAGTGTTGATTATATTAAGGTTTGACCTCATAGCTATGTCTTTTCAGGATTTAGCCAAAGGTTGATTTAAAATGTTGAAAATTCATAGATAGCTGTTTCCTGGAGACTAATAGTTGGCTGTGATTACCTTTCTTCTCTATAGTTCCATGTAATGATTCCAATCTCCACAAAAAAATATGTTTCAAGGGTCAAGTTCAAGTTGATCTCCACTTGTTCACACTCCACATTTAAGTTCCTATCTGGCAGGAGCAAAGGCTGATGCAAGTGGAGTCTGTTCAAGACAGAGCCTGCCATGCAAACGAGGTGTCTATGGCAGCCAGGATGATACTGTGACTGAAGCTGAGGAGAAAAGGGTAGGAGCAAGTCTTAAGGAGGTGTCTTCAGGAGTTCAGGGCTCCACCGCTGGAAGCACAGTCCAGGTGGCTCTCCGGGCCTATCCTTGACCCAGGAGGAAATGTAGTGGGTGGCATATGCATACCGAGGGTGACACGTCCAATGTGGGCCCAAGCACATTGTCTGTGTTATGTCTGAATGACAAGCAGAGGCTACAGCACTTGGGTGGTAGCTTATGACGAATCCAGGACCAGCTCTCCTGCAAAGCCCCCATCCAGCTGAGCACAGACACCTGCCTCGCTGGACCTCAGCTTCCTATCAATGACAGCAAAGGCTAGGTGGCACCAATGTTCCCATCCAGAGAGAGTCCAGGATGGGCAATCTCCCTGCACCTAGGGTTTCCGCTCAATGGATAGAGAAGTAGAACTGCTTGCTGGATGGAGGAGGCCCCTCTTGGACTGAGTTCTTGGGTCTGTCTTCTTTTTGTTAGACAACAGCTTTTGGAGCCGCCTCACAGAATGCTAGCCCCCTTCAGGTAGGACACCCATGCTCCTAGAAGACTGTCTCCCAATCTCTTGCTCCTACAGAGTTATTAAGCTTAGTCAGGAAGAACTTCCTAGAAAAGTATAAACTGAGACCAACACTGTCAACACCCGGAATTTCCAGTAACTGAGTAATTCTTTCCCCTACCCCTGGCAGTGGACAACTGCCGTTATTAACCCATGCCCGGGCTCTTCTCTCTAGAAGTATAACTAGACTGAGCCTTGCTCCTTAAATTCAGCCTTAGATACATTCATGTTTTACGGGCTAGATCTTTTATTCTAACCCATAAAAACATAAAGATGTTTTTCCTTCTTTGGTGAAAGACAATCATCCATAGATTTTTATGGCCAAATCTCAANGAAATCTCAAATGATATATAGTATGTTCAAGGGGACACAGAAAGAAAATTTCAGTGGACTTTCATTAATAGATATTAGTTTTATAGGGTCATCATAACAAAGTACTGTGAACCGAGTGGTTGAAATTTATTGTCTCACAGCTCTGAATCTAGAAGTCTGAGAGCGATGTGTGGGCAGGGCTGTGAGGGAGTCTGTTCCAGGTCTCTTGCTTAGCTTCTGGTGGTTTGCTGGCCATCTTGTGTTCCTTGGCTTGTGCATCACCCCAAGCTCTCTCCGTGCGTGTGTGTGTGTGTGTATTCAAACTTCCTCTCTTTCTATGGACACCAGTCATATTAAATTAAAGGTTCACCCTACTCCAATATGACCTCACCTGAACTAATTACACCTGCAATGACCCTATTTCCAAATAAGGCCACCATCTTAGGTGCTGGGGGTTAGAACTCCAACATGTGAATTTTGGAGGGACACAATTAAACCTGTAACACATATGTTTTGGTCTCTTACTTTTGGAAAACAATACCTCTTCATTTAAAACACACACCAAAAAAGGATCGCAGAACAAGTCCTGCCTTTCAACAATTCCTTTTCCTTTGTATCAAAGAAAGTATTAAGTAAAAACGCTTAGGAGGAAAGTCAGAAGTCAGAAGTGGTGGAGTTGAAAGTCACACGTATTACCACCCTTGTCACCATGGGGACAGGTGATGTGTCTAGAGCCCACTGCGGCCTTCGAGGCATTCTTTTCTGTTATGGACTAAACGTTGTGTTCCCTCCCTAAAACCCCCTGTGTTGAAACCCTACCCCCAGTGTGGTAGTCTAAGAAGGTGGGGCCTTTGGGAGGTGACTGGGTCAGGAGGCGAGGCCCTCACGAAGGGGATTAGTGTCCTTAGGAGAAGGGACAGGAAGACAGCCTGCTTCCTCTCTCTGTTTTCACCACGTGAGGACACAGCAAGAAGACAGCCGCCTGCAAACCGGCACGAGGAGCCTCATCACAAGCTGACCACGCTGGCACCCTGGTCCCGGACTCCTCAGCCTCCGCAGCCGTGGAAATGATCGTCTGTTTGTCATGCCCCCTCCCCCCCGCATCCACAGTAATTTATTACAGCAGCCTAAGGGAGACATTCGCTTTCCCACTGCATTCCCATCCACCTGCCTCACTGTACTAAAAATTCCGAGCTTAAATAAATCCGCAGAGATCCACAGTTTCAACACTGTCACAGAAACCTAATTAGCTGATCATAACGCCGGAGTCTCTAGTGTCTAGTGAAATGTGCAGACTGGGGTGGGCCATTTAGAAGCGACAGCTATTTTTCATCATTAAATTTTGAGGGAAGCCCAAAGTGTTACAACAATAAAACTCAGAAATGAAAGAAAGCATGACTCATTTTTAAATTGTCATTCTCATTATGACACATCACCACCATAACAATATCCCTTTGTTGTGGCAGGCTTTTAAAATAACTTTTCAAGCTTATATGAACACTTTGAAAATTATAAAAATTATAAAATGGGAAAGAACAAAGAAAATTAAAATTGGCCATAATTTCATCATTAAAAGACAGTAACTGATAAAATTCTGGTGAATTTCTTTCCTGTATTATTTTTTCTGTACATGCACATGACTATTTTTAGAACGACATTATACTTGATATACATTTGCATTGGACTTTTAACACTTATTATATTACAGGCACTGACTTGTGTTTAACTCTTTATAATTTATCTAAAAATTTTTAACATATAGTGATATGAGAAATTGTACCTAAAGGACTAATTTTCTCCATTTTTTGAGTATTTCATCAAATTGTCATGGATTTTTTAAAAGTTTCTTAGGATATATAAAAATAAAAAATATAGATATCCTGTGTAGACAAATTAGGAGTTACAGAAAAGATATAAAGAAGAAAATAAAAATAACTGATCATTCTAGAGGACTATCCACTGTTAATAGTTTAGTGTACTTCCTTCCAGTCACACTTCTTGTCTAGTGTGTCGCTGTGCATTCACATACATCAGAGGGGCTGTAAAGGCACAGACCCCTTCTGAAGAGTTCTTTACTTGGTTTCTGTCACTGCTCTGGGTACAGATGATTGGATCAAGGATGGGTGCTTGACACAGGGGCAACCGGTCTATAAACCAGCCTGTTACCTGTGAGGGCCCTGGTTAGAGATCTCTACCCAAGAGTGGCGCCCTACAGTAGACGGTGGTTGACTCATCCGGCCAGATCTTTGCTTGGGAAGTGTGGATTCAAGGTCTACAGAGAGATGGCCAATTGTGGCAGGCCCAGCTGAAGTAGAAACGGAGTGCAGCGGGATGCCCACAAAAGCCGAGCACTATAATCAGTAGTGGAGGGTCTGCTGTGGTCTATTCAGAGTCCTCAGCTTATACGCAGTCAGGTTTTGAACCACACTTTGATATATTAAGCACTGGAACCCCAAAATGACATTCTACATATCGGACATCAGTTAGTAAACATTTTGAAATGCAGCATTGTGTCCATCAGGGGTGTTGACTGCAAATCAGACGTCAACTCTGGCTGATTTGAATATTAAAAAGAGAGTTATTGAAAAGCTATTGGGTAGTTTATAGACTTAATGGAAAACCAGAGAAGCAGGCTTAACAATGAGGCGCCAAGACACAGCTGAGGCGCGGTGCAGGAAGAGCCTGGTACACACCAGGCGTGTACTTCCCAGTGGACTCTTGTTCCACCACCGCTGGAGACCTGAATGACCTCGAACTGCCCCTGCATCTTTCTGTCACTCCCTCAAGATTCAGAGTCCCAGAGAGAAGCTTCCCATTGTATGAACCTAGGTTATACACCGGTCCTCCCCCTAGAGGGCCAGCACCTGCTCCCCCCAGTTCCGTGGCGGGAGGTGGGGCCCTGCTTCCCAGGTTCAGGTTTGTCTGAAGCCTCGGATGGCGATGTGATCCTAACTGACCAGCAGAAACAACCCTCTCCACCCAACGAAACGCAACTCACCTCTTTTCGGGGAATCCAAAGGAGGTTTTAAAATATTCTTCAGAAATCTCGAAGCCTTTCTGGAGTTCTAAAGTTGAGAAATAATGCAAACTATCCATGGGCGCTGGTACTGAACCCCTGAAATTGGAGATAACAAAAAAATCCAAAGAATTTTGTAATGAGAGCAAGCGTACACTCATCTAATACCCAAACACGGACCAATACATTCCGCGTAAGCGCAAATGTCAATAAAATCCGCTCATAAACACACGCCTCAGAGCTGGCGTTATTCCATTCTAATTTGTGGCGTAAGCAAACTTGTATCGGTGTACGCATTTCTTACCCATTAAACCATTAATAGAGGCCAATTACCTACAATTTTAGTATTATACTCTTCACTGAAATACAGTACAAAATATTCTTTTTTCAGCTATACTGGCCTGTTTCCCCAGAGTGACTTGAAAGAATCATTAACCATTTTCAGGGAATAAATTCTGCCACAATTCGCCCCGGACCTGCTAAATAGACTGGCTGTGTGCACATTGGCCCAATTGCATACAAATGCATGCAAATTCAAAGCACCTATCTGTCCCAGCGTGACCCATTTGGAGCTCATATTTAAAACTGCTTAGTTTCTCTGTCTATGAAGTTTTAACAGACATGGCCACTCTGCGAGCGAGAGGTCACGCAGGCCCCAGCTTTCGCTGCTCTGGGGAACACTGCCTATCATCTGGCCACCACCCTCCCGGCCCCCAGTAGAACCCTGTATATAGCAGGCAGCCTGTCCTTTGAGTCAGGCCATCCAAAAATAGCCTCCCAATGTGGAGGAAATTAATCACGCTTTTTCAGATAGAGCGGATAGAAAGACAAACTTACTATTTATATTGGTTAAAAATTTGTCCACAGATAGCTTAAAATTACAGACAATAGAAAGAACTATAATTTAAAATAAATTTAAATTTAGAGGTCCTTTTTATTCTGAATTACTGGGTTCATTTTAGTATAGAGGCCCACGTTTATGCTGATGATTCAGGATTCACTCGCTATATTTGGATACTAGGAAGTCACTCTAGGGATGGCCGGGTGTCAGTCAACATGAGAAATCTCTACCTTTGAAACAGGAGCGTGTGATGCGGAGGCGTCTTTCCCATCAGGGCCTGCCGGGCTGCCTCATACTGTCTCTCCATGGAATTCCCTTCCTAGGCGAGAAATAGGACCAGAAAATTAGACTGATGTTAAAAATGTGTCAGGTGCGTAAAATGGCTATAATCATTCTCTTCCTACTGGAGATTGCCAAATATGTGCAAGGAAAAAGGGAAAACAGGTGGGCCTAAAAAACAATTGCTGTTTGTCTGGGGGGGGGGGGACTTTATAAATAAGATCAAAATACTCTTGTGAAGACTGGAATTTAATATATAAATTTTATATGACATCTAAATAATGGGGCAAATTGTTAACATTTCATGTTTATATTTTTTACCTTTCTAATGAGATTCTCTCTCAAAGAGCCAGATTATTGCTGTCTTTTCAGTTTTCCCAGATCTTACACAAAGTAACTAACTGACGGGACAAATCCAACCATGTTGACGTCTGAGGCTGAAGGGGGACAAATTGGGAAGTCTTTCTCCTGTGTGTCACAGCACCACCATCGCCATCACCAACTCCTCAGTGAGCATTTGATGGGGATACCAAGATATAAAGGACATAGTCTCAGCATTCAAAAGGTTTATAACCTGGTGGTAAATGGAGATTTAAAAAGATGGAAGGGAAAAGAAAAGACAGCACATGCTGTTTTATAAATGGCACGACGTGTGTTTACGCAGATTGTCTGATGGAGTGAGGGCCTGTTGAGCAACTGTCCATGTCCTGGGTTTCTTCACTTTAAGCAAAGCTAATAAATAAAATTCTTAATCTACAGAAATATAATTGGCAAGTGCTTATTTGTTTTACATAAAAGACTATTCATTGATAAAGGGATTTATATTAACTTTTATTTAAACAGCAAGTGCATTCAAAATACACTAATCTTTGCTTGCAGTAACTTTATCTGAAATAAACCTGACTGTTTTGATTTTAGTGCCATTACTAGGCTTCCCTATAAATTGATATTCAATTAAAATCACATGGGAAATAACAGCAAACAAGCATGCCATGAAGGGAACCATGCCATCGCTAGGAACTTTTTGGCGGGGAACCCAGCACTCCAGGCGCCCCACCTGCTGGGCCTTGGGGTCCAGCATAGCTTCAAGAGTTTGCATGTCTTTGGGGGGAATTTTTTAAGAATCGAGTTTTAAGGATTAGGTTGATGTGATTCTAAAGACGTCTTGGCATTACAAACACTCATCTGCATGAGTGGCTCTGCTCTGCCTGACGCCAAGACTGACAGTGTGAGCATCTCTGGGCAACAGCTCATGCCCTGGAGACCAGAGTCCCCTGCATCCCCTGTGCATGCACATGCCCCTTAGCACAAAGCAGGAGCTCAACCAATATTTTGAACGTCCAACAACATAAATTTGGGAGGACAATATAAACAACGAATCATGTCTGCTACTCTGCATAATCTGGACTAGAATTTGCTGCCAGCTGCGACTAGCTTGAGAAATTCTAGGCCAGGGTTTTGAATTCGTCCCTTGGAAACCATGACACACGAGAGCTAACACTGGACCCCCGACCTCGGCTCTCAGTGAACGTCTGACTGCCAAGGCCATTTTGGCGTCTCCCCGACCACGGGCTCCGAGGTGCCGTGCAAGCAGGATGGGGGGACCTCTGCTGGGTGGGAGGCAGGGGCTGGAATGGGGCAGGAAGGGAAGAAAGACACGCTCTTTAAATGGCACCATTTAAAGGCTATACGTTTAAGTAACTCCACAGATATGTCTATATTGTTCATATTGCTGCAAGGCTACCACACACTGACCAAATCTGCGGTCCTGCTCTCGTGGTCACTTCTGCTTCTCCCTCCAGCCACCCTACCCCGGTACGCACATGTACTATTGTGATTTCGCTCTATCCCCTCACTTCTCCCCACACCGATGCCTGCTTTCAATGACATCGTGCCTGGGAAGGTGACAGTGGAAGTGGAAGCATAGCTTTAGGATCTTCCAGAATCTCCCTGTAAAAATAGATACAGCAACTAAATAGTAAAATAAAAGACATATCAAAACATTTGTAAGAAAACAAGGTGACCAGGTGTCCCCTCCAGCCCCCAATACAGGTGATAATAGTCACAAAGCCAACATGGTATCCATCTCTACGCAAGAGGCGGCCGGGGAGGCGACATGACGGGGCGACTAAACGGCCTGAGAAGGGAGGACCCCAAAGAGCTCAAAAGTCTTGGCTGGAAAGAAAGGGGGCAGTTTGGGAACCGGCGCTGAAGCATGTGAGGGGCTGTCCCCCCAGTAGCAGGTAGGAACAAGGGTCCCCAGTGAGCGCTGAAGGAGCCAGGTCAACTGTGTTCTTGAAACGGGCCCACTAGGGTCCCCTCCAAGGGGGCCTCGCCCAGGAGAGAAGCTGCGGGGCTGGAACAGATGCGTCAGGGCAGAGTCGACAGACAGGAAAGAGAAAGTCTAGACCAACGTGCGGGAGGGAAGCAGAGCCAGGGACTCTCAGAAAGAACGTTATTTTATATTTTATCACTATTTGAAGAAACCATGCAGCCTTCTAAAAGCCTGAGAAAATGGACTGCACATAAATATGAGAAATTTTCTGGTCAAACCCATAAAAAAGTTACTACAAGAAAAAGGAGGCAAGGGGTAGAATAACACCTGCACTTACAGGGAAGCCTACTCATAAAGCAGATCAAGTCCACAGGCTACCACTTCAAAATAAGCTAAAAGGCATTAAGAAAACGATGCGACACGCTAAGGAACAAATAAATTACAATTTTACAAACTCAGAGAGGAGGTGTCAGAGCTCAGGAAAGACTCAGAAATGTAAGGGGGGAAAAATTCCCTTAGAAACGAAAACTGGACTAGAAAGAACACAAGAGTGGATGAACACGACAAATAAGGCCGTAAGTAGAAAGCCAATAGAGGAAAGTTCTAGAACTAATAAACAAACACACACATGAGAAGGATTTAAGAGAAAATGACGGATATTTAAGATAGACAAAGAAGACCCAACATGCAAACCGTAAGAGTCCTTGACAAAGTAGCCCAAAACAGGGAAACGGGATAGATCATAAAAACCACAGTTCGCCCAGACGGCGTGGCTCCGCGGGCGAGCACTGACCCAGGGGCCAGGAGGCCGCGGTGCGACTCCCGGGCAGGGCCCGCGGCGGGCTGCGGGCTCCACCCCCACAGGGGGCACGCAGGAGGCAGCCCACCGGTGTTTCTCTCCCACCTGTGTTTCTCTCTCTCTCCCCCTCTCCCTTCTCTCTCCAAAATCAATTAAAAAAGTACTTAAAAACAACACACACAATTCAACTATGAATTAAATTGTGTAACAGGCTGCTAACAACAGGCGGTATTCAGGAAGCGCTGTTTCGCAGCCTGTTCTGTAGCTACTAGAGAACAGGCCTAGGAAACGAAGCAACGAGAGAGCCAGTTACCTAAGTTCTAAGGGCGAGTATCGGGCACCTACGGATTTGCGAGCTAAGACAAACAGGTAAAAAGGAGCAGGTATATAATGACTATGTGCTCTGATGCTGTTGCTATAATTCAACCAAAAATAATGGGGGCGGAGGGAGCACTTGCCCCCGATTTTTTAAAACTGTCTCCAGTTTTTATAACAGGTGNTTCAACCAAAAATAATGGGGGCAGAGGGAGCACTTGCCCCCGATTTTTTAAAACTGTCTCCAGTTTTTATAACAGGTGTTGGTAATATTCGTATTGTTATTCTGGTGTAATGTGGATAAAACAAATAAAAAACTCAATGAGATATTATAATGTAATCATCTCCTACGTCTTTCGGAGTCAGGATTTTCAGCGTGCAAGGAAAAAAATATGTAATAGAGAAGCTAGGTCAAAATCTGAAAGTCCTGCATCTGCATTGGAAATATTGACTTGAACTCATGAAATATTTTATGTACCCACAGAAGAGGCCCAGAAACGACGACCACCCAACAGCAATGAGCATGAGACGACTCCCACCCCCACTTTAAGACGGCAAAGCCCTTAGAGAAAAGGCTGGGTGCAGGCCTGGGGCCCGCAGGGAACGAGGGGCGGAGAACATCTTCTGGGTCACGTTGGACTTGCCGACCTGCTGTTTGGAGCAAGAGCTCGCCCATCGGCTGCCTACTTTTCTGCCCTTGAATATTAAATGAAAGCGTCTGAATAAACTTAAATGTACTCTATTTTGTCGTATCTGATATTTATATTACCATACGTCGAAATTAAGCATATAGTTCGCCACGTCTCTGGAAATACTGCCTGGCGAGCTGAGAAAAAGGCACCCATATCGCAGAGGAAACCAGGGACAGCCGAAATCAGTGCCGAGCGCTGCAGCGGCTCCTACTTCGAGCCTCTCATAATCTGAGCCTAAACAAAGAGCACACCTTTCAAATTCTCCACTGCTTTCAGACCTTGAGTTACTTAAATTAATGTTAAGTGCACACACAAGTTATCTCGTGACCGGTCAGCAAGGTGTTAAAAGCACAGGAGCAACTTGAAGGGGCTCTCACTGGCGAAAGGTACAATAAATGTCAATCAGGATAAAAAAATGCAGTGGGTGGACAGCCTCCAGTAGGATGTGCCTAAATCAAGATCATAAATGACGTTTTAAAATTAATCGGTCACCAATTCATTCTCTTGAGAAAAGCACTTGGAGTGCTGCTCTTACAGGAGCTGTCCCACTTGGTACCCGGGGGCAGGTGAGAGAAGCATCTCCTTAGGTGTCATTCCAGCTAAGAAATAGGGCGCTGAGCACTGTGCACTGAAAATGCACCCGAGCAGAAGAAAGTCCTTTGCTTTTGGAGTCAAAATAGACTCTTCTAAACGGTGTAATCTTGGCGAAGCTCCCTGAGCTGACTGCCTCACGGTGTTGAAATAGTGCCTAGCAGAGGCAGGTGGCCAATATTTGGTGACCACAGACCCACTTCTCACTGGGTACTTTATAAAACTGCGCTACCTCATCTGCTACACACACACGGATTTGCTAAGTTGGCGCTGAATGCATCGGCCACTCAGCAACTTTTTCTATAGAATTGGCTTTCGGTAACCTGGCCGCTTCAGGGGCAAGGGTGTCCCCTAGGAGGGCAGAGCAACTTGCTGAAGAAACAGATACAATTGAAATCCAGACAATGGGGCTACTTCCCGAGGCAAAGGCCTAGTGACGTTAATTCCAGAGCGGAGCCTTCACTAAGCCACCCTCACCTTCCCGTACCTTCCAGGGAGCCGACCCCGCAGGAGGGGCCTGAGCTGCTCTCAGGAGGGCAAGTGGAGCACAGTGACATCTGACAAGTCAAACACAAGAGCTCAGATCTCTGTAACCAACAGTCCATGTGCGTATCGTGTAAGTAAAAACTTGTCACTGGATAGTGTTATATACTTTTTGCAGCAATAAAAAAAGAGTTGTGCATGTATTTTTTTTTTTTTTTACTCACACCTAAAAAGAAATTTGTGTTTAAGAAGTAAGGCTGATTAAAATTATATTTACAGTTCTCCGAGAATCTTTTAGAGACGTTCAAATTAATGTGCTTTGGGAGTCGTTCAGAAAAGTAAATACCATTCAAGCTTTGAAGAGAGAAAAAATAGAGCAACAGAGGACTGCACAGGCAAGGAATGAGGAAATGGAATATTTGACTAAATTATTTAAGACCACACTAAATTATGGTCATATTCATAGAAAGCATTGTATATTGATAAACTATTGGAGTAACGAGCAAGAAAAGTGATGGTTTTGTTTTGTTTTCAGACTTGAAGAACAAAGAGGAATATTCCTGGACATTTATTCCCAAGAAAGACAAGTTAGTCGAGTAAAGACCCAGGGATCTCAGAGACAAGGAACAGAGACCAGCTNTCAGTATGGTTTTGTTTTGTTTTCAGACTTGAAGAACAAAGAGGAATATTCCCGGACATTTATTCCCAAGAAAGACAAGTTAGTCGAGTAAAGACCCAGGGATCTCAGAGACAAGGAACAGAGACCAGCTGTGGGTACATCAGGAGTCGGCGACACTGAGGCTCTCCGTGCTCCGCTAGCCCGTTTTCTACTTGTAGGAAGAAGGCAGGGGCAGGAAAGCTGCAGACGCACTGACCTGACCCTTCCATCGACAGAGACCGCACCTTCCACGAGGACAGGGACCAGGCCCATCTGGTTCTAGAGTCTAGAACAGGGTGTGGTCAGCAAACACCTGCTCTATCCTGGAAAGCAAACCCACATCCCATGTACAAGGCAGGAATTACACAACTTCAGGATGGTGGAGAGGGGTGCGCGAGGGGAGGGGAGGGAAGGGGAAGGGAATAAATGTTGCTATTATATAAAGATCTAATTTAGTTTGTATATTGACATTGTATCTAATAACCTTGTCAAATGCGCTTATTTCCTAAAAACACCAATTATTTCTTCATACAATCGACATGTAACAGTGTGTAATTTAAGGTGTACAACAGCCGAGGGCCTGAGCCCTCTCTGCCCTCCCTGCCAACCACTGTCACCGCAGCAGCCATCAGCACTTGTTTTATGGTCAACAATTTAGAAAGAAGTCCCATAAGCATTTGGTATAACAACTTTGTAAGGTAGATATTATTAGAGCTTCACTTTACAGAAGAGAAAGTGACATCTCATGGCAGACAAGTGACTTTTATAAGGTGGTAAGGCTGTCACGTGGGCTCAAGAGTTCTGCATTTCCTCTCAGGTGAAGGAACCAATAGGTAAATGCAGACCGAAGCAAGTTAGACCAAAAATACACACACACACACCCCAATACACACTTACCCAACCAGTTATGACATGTGCATATGTGACTCCCAAGGAACAGAATGGTTTCCGTAAGGCGCAGACATAAGCAGCCGCATTGTTTTGTGATCGCTCCTTGACACACCCATAGTGACGACCATGCGCCACCCCCAAGGTGGCCCTTCTACTCTCACACGGCCTTTTTATCGCAGTCTTTCCTCTCCGGGTTCTCCATACTTGCTGCCCATTAATTGTATATTGAAATGTTGGAGATGAATTATTGCAAAGACCATAAAGTGTGGCTTTAAAACACACACACCACAGTCTCCGTTCCTCTGTTCTCACCCCTGGGTACCTGAGTGCCCTTAAGCAGAGAAAAGCTATCTTTAATTAGGCCTGACAGCTTTCTAACAGGTAACATTCAGATGGGTCATGTTTAAGTAAATCACGAGTGCCCACTAACTGGCAGAGGAGTGCAAGTCAATGGTGCGTTTCTCATCGGTGTGTTGAGGCGCAGCTAACGGGGACGTGAGCTGGTCTGGCTCCAGCGCAGAGACTCATTGGGAAGAAATGAAGGTGGCCCATGGTTTGTGCTCTGGGGTTTACACTCGGATATGCCATGTACTAGGGGAAATCAAAGAACAATTTATATTTGAAAATCTAAGCTCCAGGAAGCATAAAGCCAGGCCATCTAAGGAGGAGAGGATACCAAGCGCAAAGAGAAAGCAGTAGGTGGATCTGCAAAGAGCTGGATTTCCCAGGACTGGTGGGTTCCTTATGTAGAGGGAGGGCCCCTGGGGACGGCGAGATCTCAGAGGTACTAGGCAAAAGTACCAGGACGACAGGATACGGAGAACAGCAGAGCCACCGGCTCCGAATGGCACTCGGGGTCTCAGACAAGGCGCATCTCCGGGGTATCCCTGGAGGGCGGTCCAGAGGCCCAGGGCTCTCCCGCAATTTCCCAGGATGGTGTGAGCTCAGGACTCTTGAACTGAATCCAAAGACTGGGCGTGATGCCCACTCCTAACCACTGAAACTTGCCTCCCCACAGATCCTAGGTGGACGGGAACAATTCCAGATTTATTTTGCATAAATACGTGCTCAAATATCAGGGAACAAATTCGCATTTTTCGGATGTCCAGAGTCGACCCACAGCTCCTGTAAGCAGCCACCGTCTGTACCAGGGGGCCCCTGCCCCTTGCCTTGCCCCGGGTAACTGCGCACGGCCTGAAGCATCCCGCGGGGCCCATGAGACTCTCTTGCCTTCGGAAATGCGAATGAGAGAGACAGAGAAAATTTTCTGGAAATGTGGGCACAGAGCTAAGAGGACACGGAGAGTCGGGGCTGGGGTGTGCGAATGAGCGCAAGTGGCCAGCTGGGGGCAGCAGAGACGCCAGGAGCCCCAGGCCCTGGATGCAGAGTCCCAGCGCGTCTGCGAGGCCTGCGCTCCAGCCCCGCTCGCCGTGGCCGCGACAGTCGCTTCCTCCGACTGACGCTGATGTGAGGGGGTGTTTCTCACCTCCAACACATCGCCCGCGACTAAGCCGGAGCAGGAGGTCTACACCGGTCCACACCGCTGCCCGCGGCTTTGCTCCTGAAGCACCCCGCCTGAGTCTTTTGACCGCTGCCTACGGTTCTGGCCTTAGAAGAGGATAATTTTTTGCTTAGAACACGCTAGGCTTAAGGAAACGCATCCGGCGTGACAACCAAAGCGGAAGTTCCATTGCTTGTGCGACAACTGCAATGGCTGAGATCGCGTCGCATTCCCAGATCACCAGGGGCAAGCGGTCACCCACGGAAAACGGGCGCAACCCAATTTGAACGCAGCGCCAGCTCTGCACGCGATCCTCCTGCACGTACCGATTTCTCCGGGTCCTCAGAGAGTCGGGTTGGGACTTGGTTACATGACCGGTGTCAATACTGCTGTGTCATGAAACACGGGCTCCCTCTGACTCAGCACGTGACCACTAAAAATTATATCCCAGCAACAAAGCCAGCTTTCCCTGGACCTACGTATCCTACAGCATTAATCCTATTGCTGTGCTTTTCTACTTCTGCTCAACAGAAGAACCGAGTGTTAGGGTTTTGACCAGGTAATAAAATCTAAACGGAATATTCTATTTTTAGAACTCATGTCTATCCTTAGAGGCGTGGAAAGGGGGGGGGAACTGGTCTTTATGTGACACCAGTCCGAGAATAGTTTTGGTGAAACTTATTCGTCTGCAAATAGGAAGCCCTGCTTCTGTCTGACACCCTGCAACGCTCAGCTGCGGCCTCCCCCATCGGCACCTCCTTACCACGGGTGTTTTTTTGGTTGTAAGTTTGGCCGATAATTTCACCAAATAGTTTCTGTCTGTGGAATCCAGGAAATCACACGAATTCAAAGAACTAGACTTCTTAGATGGTTTTCGCAATTTCAGCCATGATTTATCGACTTCTGGCAGGGGAGAGAACACACCACAGTTTAAAAGACACAAAATAGGATAAAGGAACTTTGTGAAGTGAGAGAGATGGTTTAGATCTGGCTTTGCCCAAACACATCCGCCTGCATTTCTGAAGTCTGGACAGTGGTCTAAAGTGATGAGGAAAGGCGTTCAGATGCCTGGGGGAAAGCTTCCCGGGTAGGGGGGCTCTGTGGGGCCCAAGCCCACGCTGAACTCAACAATGAGCGAACCCGGGGCCGACGCAAGGAGCAGGCCGGATCCTGGGCTCACCTAACAAAACCAAAACACCCTCCCCTTTTTTTTTCAATCCTTACTCAAAGATATGTTTTTACTGATTTGAGAGAGGCAGGGGGTGGGGTGGGGAGGGGGAGTGACAGAGAAACATCAATCAATTGCCTCCTGTAGGCACCGCGACTGGGGAACAGACCCGAAACCTAGATCTGTGCACTGACCGGGAATTGAACCTGCAACCTTTTGGTGAGGGGATGACGCTCCGACCAACCGAGCTCCTCGGCCAGGGCAAAACCCTTTCCTTTTGATGGGACTATAAGAATAGAGCATTGAGGAAACAGACCAGGTAAATTTGAAAAAAGTTAAGATAAAATTTAAAGAAGTAGAAGCTATATTCATTGAAATAATTTCTATGGAAAGGATCCTCTCTCTCTCTCTCTCTCTCTCTCTATATATATATATATATATATATATATATAAGCTTATTTAAAATATAGCGTTCGTGCCAGGGTCCCTCGTTCCAGCTTTCTGAGACACAAGCCATTTGTACCACGGTGGAAACAAGCCAGGTTCCATCTGATGACACAGTGCAGCTGCAATTCCAACAATTTAATGTTTTAATGGTTTCTCAGCAACAAAACATTTTGGGTAAAGGTGACTATTATCTGCATCGCAAAGACACCACCTTAATGACTTTATACTCCTGTAATAAACAGTTTCATACAGTTCTTAATATAGTGTCTAATGTCTCAATACATCCATGGACAAGAGATGCCACCTCTCAATTAAAAGGACCGCCCCAAAATTCCCAGTGTTAATGGCCCACAACAAAGCTTCTTAATGTCATCTTGTTCAAAATACCGAAGTTAAAGTCAACCCTGAGGCAACACTCAAAAATATCAATTATTTTACAGTACACAAAAATACCAAGCTCTTCAGTATGTAGGCTAAATTTATTTAAACACCTCCAGTGAAGCATGAATGAACTTAATGACGCATGACAGATTTTAAAGTCATTTTATGGATTAGCATCATTACCATCTGCAGGAAAACATAAATGAAATATCTGGAATGACCAGAACTACATCTCAAATTAACTTAAATAGCTTAGACCTTTTAGTTAGAATTATATCCTTTGGCGGTCAAGTGACTTAAAATAGTACTTTTAGAAACCATTTTAAAAGAATAAGCCCAGAGCCCAACCTAAGTAACAAAGCAGTAGAAGCCACGTAGCCAAGAATAAAACACTTGTATGCGTGCCTAATATATTATCATGGAAACTAAACAGGGCCTTTCATGCATAAAGGAAGGAGAGAATAAACGATGCCGATGACCTAACACCACAGGCCCACAGCCGTGTCAATAACTAGTAATAGAATTAGAATCTGGGGATCAGATTGTGAATACAATTGGCCCTTGAAAAACACGGGTTGGAACTGCGTGGGTCCACTTATACGTGTATTTTTTCAATAAATAGTGTAAATGTACTTTCCTTATGGTTTCTTAATAACATTTTGTTTTCTTTAGCTGACTTTATCGTAAGACTACAGCATATAATACATGTAACATACACAATAGGCGTTAATGGACTGTTTAAGTTATCAGTAAGGTTTACGGTCTATAGTTAGCTTAGTAGCGAAGCTTTTGGGAAGAAGATATACATAGGGTTTTGTTTTTTTAAAAGTATATATCTTTATTGATTGCAGAAAGAGGGAGGGAGAGGGAGAGAGAGAGAGAAACCTCAATGATGAGAGAGTCATTGATGGGCTGCCTCCTGCACGCCCCCTACTGGGGATGAGCCCGCAACCCGGGCCTGTGCCCTGACCGGGAATCGAACCCAGATCGCCCGGATCCTAGGTCGGTGCTCAACCGCTGAGCCCGCCGGCCAGGCGATGGACATAGATTTTCGACCACGTGGGAAGCTACTGCCCCTAACCCGTGTGTTGTTTAAGGGTCAATTGTATTTTGAAAACCAAATATCACTATTTCAATAACCAACTTTTCTATATTAATGAGATTATATATACAGCAAAATAACTGAGTCACACTCTTATTTAAAACATGAGACTTAACACGTTTAAATACAATTTTTTTAACATTTAAATAAAACCTTGCAAAAAAATGAATCAACGCTAGGGTTTCTCTTTGAAGACATTTGGAAATGTATGACTTGGAAACAGCCTTTAATTTTCAGACCAAAGTACTTAGTTAGCCGGATGACTGCCATATTGTTCACTTATTTTCCCACTCAAATGGAGCTTTTAAAAAACCTGTTCATTTAGGTAACCGTGAGGTAATACTAATAGTATTAGGCAATAAAAATACGGTGTGTGATTTTTTAACAAGAGCAATTTATACCTACCATGATTAAATACATATACATATATAAAATGCAAATACCTATAAAATCCCTGCAAGAGAGTCTCAACACTGAAATACATGACCATAAAAAGGGCCAAAACAAAGCACAAGAAACTGCCATAGAATTAAAAACATTTATTCATTTTTAATAGGATAGTTACATACTTTATAAAATTAAGGGGAAAGCTGTTCATTAGGAAGTGTTATTACAAATCTGAAGGCGTCAAAAGAATCTATTTTTTCAGGACAGAATTAAATCTTAAAAGTCTTGTCTATCTGTGCTTGTAAGAAAGGAATGCTAGCAAGTAGAAAAATAGCCATTTTACATAATATCCATAATTATTTTCCATAGCAAAATAAGCTTTTAAAGTGGAAAGCTACCACAGAAATGCAGTAATAATGTTCACATTACATATGGTAAAATGAATGTACTTAGTAAACAGTGAAGTACTACATTCCTGAGTGTCCAGTCACAGAAACAATCAGCTATTTAAACAGAGAACAGATTCTACCCAGGGCAAAGCAGAGCGTGTGAACGCGCATCCTCGCTTGGGGAGGGGCACAAAACTGTTTCCTGCCATTGAACCTCCTACTTCAAAGGAGTGTCTGCAGCAGAGCTGAGCTAAGGGTTCCATATGTGGACACTGCATTCAAAATGTCCCGACCCAAACATATAACAGACGTACCTGAACTTCAGCTCTTTAAAATGGATGAGTTTGCCATGAAGCAGTTCATCGACACCTTGAGGGAGATGCCATATAGGACAGGCCAAGGTCAAGGGGAGGAGCTTGATACAGAAGGTTTGGATGCAGAGAGAATTGGGGAAACGGGAAGGAAAGGGCGGCGACGACCGGCAGGAAGCAGCCTTGGGGAGCCTGAGCGCACACTGAAGGCCTCCTCTCCTTTGAGCGATGTCGTTTGATACCTAGAGCTCTGATGTGATTTCCCCCCAGCCCTACATCCCCGCCTCGGGGGTGACTGAGGTCTTTGCTTGATAAGGGCTCATCTTTCAAGAACAGCTCTTTCAGAGATGTTTCAGCGGTCCATTCCTCCAGCAAAGACCTTTTTAATTTTTTGCCTTTTTTTCACCTTGCTTTTCTACTTTTGCCTTTGGGAACTGGTGGTCTTTAGATCTGGCGGCTTGTAGAAGGCAGTCTGTCTCAGCCCACCACTGAAAGGAAACAAAGGCCCACCATCTGGCAGTTTATTCCCGAGTCAAGTAACTTGACAGCATTTACCACTTGATCAGTTTGAAACATAAAATATAAATGCCTTTGATTTTTATCAGTCATTAAACAGTAATAGTAAAAACAACAGGTAACATTCATTGAGCGTGTCCTATGTGCCAGGTGCTATTTTACGAGTCTTTTCTGTGTGTGTCACAAGTTTCAGTGCTGCCTGCGAATACCCAGGAGAATCTCTTGATCTAAGTAATATTTTGCTGAGCCATAATTTCTTTCCAATATTATTCTAATTCTGCATAAGCTCCTTTATTCAATCAAGGTTGGCAATGTTTTTAAAAGGATTTTCAGATAAGACCATCCCATTTGCCAAATACTTACACCTAGTTTGACCAGTATTGTCCTATTCCAATTAATAATAAAATGCTACTTTAAAAAATGTGTTTAGATATGGAAACAACCCAAGTGCCCATCAAAGATGAGTGGATAAAAAAGTTGTGTATTGCCCGGCCGGGCGTGGCTCAGCGGTTGAGCGTTGACCTAGGATCCAGGCGATCAGGGTTCGATTCCCGGTCGGGGCACATGCCCGGGTTGCGGGCTCGATCAATGACTCTCTCATCATTGATGTTTCTATCTCTCTCTCTCCCTCTCCTTTCCTCTCTCTGAAATCAATAAAAATATATTAAAAAAAAAAAGTTGTGGTACATTTACACAATGGAATATTACTTGGCCATAAAAAAGAATGAAATCTTACCATTGGTGACAGCATGGATGGACCTCGAGGGTATTATGCTAATAACTCAGAGAAAGACAAATGCCATATGGTATCACTTATATGCAGAATCTAAAGAACAAAATAAATGAACAAAACAAACAGACACATAGATATGGAGAACAAAGCCTTTGGGGACTACATGAAAAAGGTGAAGGGATTAAGAAGCACAGATTGGCAGCACAAAATAGTCACTGGGATGTAAAGTGCAGCACAGAAATATAGTCAATAATATTGTGATAACTATGTCTGGGGCCAGGTGGGTACTGGAAATACCGGGGAAACACTTTGTAAAGTATACGATTGACTAACCACTATGCTGTGCACCTGAAACTAATACAAAATAACATTGAATGTCAACTGTAATTGAAAAATAAAACGTAAAGTTCTTTTCAAAATTTGCTTTCGCTGCTTACATGTTGATACTGACACGCACTCCTATCAGCGC